CTAACTGTCTCTCTCTCTCTCTCTCTCTCTTCGATACCCTTCCCATTCTACTGTCTGTCATCTCTTATCGTTTTTAGTCTAATTGGATTTTTCTGCATCCCTCAAATCCTTGCCATAAATATTTGCATATTCTGAGATATTTAATATTTTATTTTATTTTTTATATGCCAAATTTAATTAAAGTATTTATTTCAAATAAATAATAATAATGAATAAACGATATTTAGTATTCATTTTATTTCCATCGCAATTAATTTGAATGTAATTAATTCTCTTTTAAATATTTCAAATTTTGCAAATCTTTAAGTTGATGAGTTTACGAGTATATTTAATCTGCATTAAAGAATTAAATTAAAAATAAATACCTTTTTTTGTTTACCAAAAACACTTAACAGACAAAGCTTCACTGTACAAAAGTACATGTTACAGTTGGGCACAGTGGAGTCGGGACAAATGGGGCGATTGTCGGATCGTTGAGGCGTAGCCAATTGCGACTAATGACAGTTGATTGCTGGCTCTTGATTGAACGACACATCTGAATAGATAGATGGGCAAATGAATGCATTCACTCACCACTCACCACTCACCACTCATCGCATGTGCATATTCATTTTGCATCATTTCCGACTTACGCAGATTATAAATGACTAACATTTGCAACGTTTGCACCGACAAATTGTGAACACAATTTCTTCATTCTTTCCACGATTCTTCTATTAATTTGCGGACCGCTCATCACTTGCACAACGATTTTACCAATATATATTCTTAACCATTTCCACATCGGAATTGCTTGAAATAATAGTTAGTTTATGTATAATAATTAGTTAATATATTCAGAATGCTAAAATAAAGATTTTCTTATTTTAACTGGGTTTCCCCAATACTTGCAAGAAGTTAAAAATAATAAAATAAAAATAATAATGATAATATGATTAATGATATATAATATCTGGGAGTATCAAAGTGTTAAATTGTTCAACATAAAATAAATAAATTAAAGTGCATTAAAATATTTATGTATTAAAAAAAACATTATCTGAAAATAGTGAAAACGGAAATAGAATTTAATTGATGTTTTTATTGAAATTACACAATTTTAATATTTACAAAAGTAGTTGATAATACTTAATAGTAACTTTGATAATTGATAGTACTTAATAACACTTAATAATACTTAGTAGTTTAGTATTAAAATAGGAGTCACAATAAATATTAACAAACCCGCTAAGACTACCCATTCCCAATAAGATTATTGACTTTGAAGTGCTGTCAAATGGTATGTTTACATTTAAATGTGCTCTTTCCAATTACCATATCCAATCAGAGTGTGTATATACAATTGGAATCCATTTGCATGGCAATTGGAGAAAATCGTTTAGCTGTCAATTAAAAATACAATTTCCACATTGGCTGTTTATTGATTTTTCCATCAAGTGCGCAACTTGAAGTGACTTGGTGAGTTCAGTTTGGTGTTGAGTTTTCTGATTGGAGGTAGTGAGTTGGGTGTCCGACAATCAACGGCTTTCATCATGTGTTAATTGCAATTAGAGCAGCACGCAGCCATGTTTGTTATCTTTTTTTTATTTGTATTTATTATTCAAATAGAAATACATTTATTTTGTTGTTTGCCTGCCAATGGGCAAAGCAAACATAAATTGAGACAAATGGTGGCCCCATGACAAGAAAATCAAATCAGAAATCAAAAGCAAAATTGCGCAACACAAATTATTAATTTGCGCAACAGTTGTAGCCATTTTGTGAACTGACTTATGACACAGTCAATGTCCATTGTTTGCTAAACAACATTAGACAAGCAACTTGAAACAAAAACAAGAACAACAACAACAACAAACGACGACGACGACGACGACAACAATCGCGACAGTTGCAATAATAAATGCTACGATTCGATTAAAAGATCAGCCAGCAAACGAGGAGTTGGCGCAAAATGCGCAATTCCAATAAGAGATTGACAATGACAGAGAGAGAGAGAGAGCCTTGCTGCGAGTGCGAGTGCGAGCGAACGAGCGCATGCACAGACAGGCAGGCAGGCAGCCAAGCAGCCAGGCAGACAGTTAGTCCAAGTCGAATTCGAAGTCGGGCTTTGCTCTCTTATGTTGTTGTTGTTGGCTCGTTTGTAAGCAACATACATTTTTGCGCGTCAGCAGCAGCAGCAGCAGCGACGACAGGCTCTCTCTCTCTCTCTCTCCCTCTCTCTCGCTCGTTCGTTCTCTCGCTGTCTTCGTTGACTGCGCTGCGCTGCGCTTTGTTTAAATAAAAGCCTCTTTAAGTTTATCTATTGGGGCGCATCTAAATTGTGTGTGTGAGTGACGGGGGAGAGTGGGAGAGAGGGAGAGGAAGCGAGACCCACCGACCCGTCTTTGGTGCTGCTGCTGCGATTATGCTATTTGTTTGCTGTGATGCTGCGACTGCGCTGTCGACGTCAGCCAGCAGCAGAGACGCTCTTGTAATGTTTTGCCGGCGCGCGCTTTGCTTTGTTGTTGTTGTTGTTGCTGTTGTTGTTGTTGTTATTGTTGTCGTTACTTATTGCTTGCGTTGTACGCTTCATGTTTTGATTGTATTTATTTTAGTTTGAGTAACTTTACTTTTTATTGCTGCTGCTGCTGTTGCTGCGGCCGCTGCTGCTTGCCGTCCATTTCTGATGAAGATTTTCTGCGCGATTAACTAGCGAGATCGCCTTACGCGCTGATCTCCCCTCCCTCCCCCTTTCCCTTCTCGCTCGCTCCAAGCGCGGCATCTTTTATGTGAAAAGCGTTTCGTGCGCAGTTTTAATCATGTCTCTCGCATTTTTTTTCATGGAACGACGCTGGAAAGACGAAATGGTTGACGAGGAGCAGGCGGTGGTGGGTAATGGACCTCATAATTGCTGAATGATGAAGGTGTTGGGGGAGGAGGTGAGGGTGTGGGGTAGGGGGTGTGGTAAAGGCTGTTGAATTTTGCATTTTGAGCAATTGCTTTTAATTTTATTCATAATTCATGTCTAGGGTTTCTCAGTGGCTTTTAATCGCTCTATAATTGTTGTGTTTGTGTGTGTGTGTGTGTTGGTGTGTGTGTGTGTGTGTGTTGGTGTATGTTTGTGTGTGCTTCCAACTGAAATTAAGCTTGATTAATTTGTTGGTTGCGTTATCGACGCGTCGGCATCTGTGGACCTCGACCTGACTGCCCCTGGAATGCTGTGGGTTGTGGCGGTGTGTGTGGGGGTGGTGAGGCAAGAGGCAAGTTATTAAACTGGATTGGGTGTGCAATTGGGGCGTGGCAGAGATATTACACTTATACACATGCGTTCACACACTCATAATAAAGCGTGGACAGCTTTCGATAAGTGAAAATTAGTTCAAATGCTCGAATGACGAGATACCCTCCAGAAAAGTCTCAATTTATCAATATATATATAAATTAAGTTTAGATATCATTAAAATTTCTTTTTACCTGCTTTTGAGTTTCTTAATCGATGAATTTCATACAATTGCTAAATAATTTATTTCAACTGAATAAGCATGTTTTATATTATTTATAAAATGTTAATATTATTTATTATTTGTTAAACCTCTTTCTATATCTTTATAAATGAAACAATATATAAAATCGACTCGGCAAGAATATATATATATATATATATATATATATTTATATATATATGCTTTCAGTCTGCCCTTTTATATAAAATCACGATACCCTTCCACCGAACTTGAATGGATGCGTGGTATAAAAATTGCTGGAATTTCTATTTTTATGGCCAACGGATGTGGCCCGAAGAGCTAAAAGCAACGCTTTTTAATGGCCCATTTCGCCAGATGAATGTAGATAAGATAAATTGTAGCTGATTAATTAACTGGCTATGAGTAATCAAAGCAATATTTAAGGGTTCATTTGCACTTGAAGTGTAGCTCAGCTAATTTATAAAACACATTGCTCAACATAACCTCAACAAAGGGAGAATAATTCACACACACACACACACATGCATATGTGCTGTGGCCCAATTAGACAAGCTCACACACACACGCGTAGCTATCATCATATGTGTGTGTGTGTAGAAAAATGAAGAAAAAAGGCATCAAAAACAATTATGAAATCACAGCAGATGTTTGTGCACCAAAATTTTGTGGTGGTGATTTATAAAGCGTTGTGCTAAAAACAGCAAACAGCAAACAACAAGCAACAACAACAATGACATCAAAAATTGCAACAACAACAACAATAAAATTGTTTCATTTTTATTGAAAAAAAGGCGCAAGACACGAATTGAGGGGAAGGCAGAGAGAGAGGGAGTGAGAGAGGAGAGAGACACAAGAACAGCAAGCATGTGTTACACACACAGGCACACACACACACACGCATGTATGTGTGTAGCTAGGTAGAAAAGAGGATGGAGGATGGAGGATGCTGTCTGTCTGTCTGTCTGCCCGTCCGTCTGCCTGTCGAGTAAAAGGACTGCAGATGCGCAGCCACAAGCCCCCAGAAACTTATGTACATTTGGAGATTTACGACTTAAATGCTGCAGCGCATAATCAAAAAGACAAGGCGCAGATGGAGCTGAAGCTGTAGCAGTGGCTGTGGCTGAGGCAGCGACGCTAGCCGTGCACTTAATTAACAAATATACAAACACTTAACATAACCTCAACTGACAGCCAGCCCAGGCACTGGCAAAGGCAAACGCAAAGGCCAACTCAATGCGTGAGCGAGACAACGCTAGTGTACTGTAAAATGCCTCACACCCTTTGGCGCACAGCGTGTGGAGGCTCGCCGCTCATTGGATATTCGAAATTGTGAGAGAGCAGCGAAAAAGAGAGCGCACGAACAGCGACTGCTGTTTGTGTGTGTGTGTTGTGTATATTTTGTTCTTATTGCCGTTCCGGTTTTTGTTCGTTAACTGGGCGGCTGCTCCGCTCTTGCGCTCACAGTTGCGCCGTCTCGTTTAGTTGCAAGTTCGCGGGAGCTTCAGTTGGTTCAGCTGACTGGCAGAGCGCACGTAACGGAAAAAACCGGGCCGAGAGATTTTTATTGCTTTTGCTTTTGCTTTTAATAGTTTATCTTTGGTTTATATGTACACATATTGAAAAGACCACAGGCAACGCGTGTGTATATGTGTGTGTGAGCGCCATCTAGCGGCGAGACGCAACAAATAGCGTTTTATTTGCGGTGCGTTGTGTGAACCAATTGTGAATTCTAAAAAAAAAAAAACAGCACAAAAAGAAAAATACACAAAAAAAAAGAAGTTTTAAAAATGCCGACGGCTTTGCAGCCGCTTGTCTAAAAACTGGCTACACTTATGTCCACGCTGGCCAGCAGTCGCCATCCGACGCTGAATCTGAATCTGAATCGGAGTCTGACACCAAAGCGAAGTATCGAGAATCAGAGAGTTGAATCCCAATTGGCGGATCAGCAGCCGGGATCCGGTTCAATGCATCCCGATTGCCTGCCACTGCCGCTGGATCCGCTGGATCCGGGTGTTCCCGGCAGTCACGGCAGCAGTCCGCAGCTCCAGAAACCCAACGCTGGCGACGAGGATGCGAGTTCCGCCTGTGATGATGCTGATGACGATGATGAGGAGCATCTGGTGAACATTTTGGATGACGATCATGGGGATAACAATGACGATATGATGGAGGAGGAACTGGAGGAGGATTGCGAGGAGGAGTGCGATGATGCCGCCAGCTGTTGCAGTGAGAATAGCGTGTTGAGCGTCGGCCAAGAACAGTCGCAGGTGGCAGCTGCCCAGGCCAGGCAGCGATTGCTAATGTCGCAACTCTATCGACCGTCGGCATTTAGCAGCGTGTCCGCTGCTGGCCAGCCCATTGAGGAGGATCCCGGTGATCCTGTGATAATTGCACCCGCCAGCTTCCAGGAGGAATTCCTACGCAAATCCCAACTCTACGCCGAGGAGCTAATGAAGCAGCAGATGCAACTGATGGCGGCGGCGAGAGTGAATGCTCTAACTGCAGCAGTGATGCCGCTGGGCGGTCTGCGTCCCGGTCCCAAAATGACGCAACAGTTGCAAATGGCTGCAGCGGCAGCGGCGGCGGCTGCAATGCGACCCACAACCGGACAGGATGCACTTGCTCAGCTAACGGCGACGGCGTTGGGCATTGCACCACCCACTCCGCCCCATCATCCGCATCAGTTGTTGATGCAACAGCCTCACAATCCCTACCAGACACAGCAGCAGCAGCAGCATCTGCCACACTCTCCCCATCATCAGCTCCATCAACAGCTGCAGCAGCAGCAGCAACAGCAGCAACACACCAATCACTACAACAACAACAACAGCATCAGCAATAGCAACAACAACAACAACAATCTAAACAACAACCACAACCTAAACAACAATGAGAATCTGCACGAGCGAGCTTTGAAATTCAGCATTGATAATATTTTGAAGGCGGATTTTGGTTCGCGGTTGCAGCAACGTTTGGCGGCAAGTGGTGCAGCTGCAGCTGCAGCAGCGGCGGCGGCAGCAATAAGCTCCGCTCAGTTGAAGGCGCCGCGTAAGACGCCAAAGCCTCTCAATCTCGCCCAGACTCAGTCGTCAGCTGGTGTCCAATTGCAGTTGCAGCTGCAGACGCAAACGCAGCCCAGTTTGAGTTTCTCCAGCAGCTTGGCCAATATCTGCAGCAATAGCAATGATTCCAATAGCACCGCCACCAGCAGCAGCACCAACAACAACAACAACAACAATCCGGCTGCTGTTGATCTGGTCAAGTCACCAAATGCCACATCGCCGGCGGATGCGGCGAACGGGAGTAAATCGAACGAGGATCAAGGAGCAACAGCCACATCCACTTCGACCAGTTCCACGCCCATTGTGTGGCCGGCATGGGTCTACTGCACCCGCTACAGTGATCGCCCCAGCTCAGGTGAGTCTCCCCGAAGAAAAACACGGATAACTCTAGAAGAGATTAGCTTGTGATTTCCTTGATTTAGTTGATGATTTCCCAGAAGTTCACTTTCTTTCAGTTTTGGGAATATCTAATAAATATTTTTGAAAATATTAAAAATATTTAAAAAATATATTGAGAGAACAATAAAATAGAATATAGAATCTAAAAACAATTGGAACTCAATTTATAGTGACAGAAAGCCCGACTTAGGAATATATATATGATAATTATTCATTTAACTATTGTATAAATATATAATTATTAAGTTAAACAAAAGAATTAGAATAGTCATAGAAGAAAGAAACTGCTAAGCAGCTAGGACAAGCAATCTATTGAAGATTATCTGAAAATGAGCAAAAACTCTCTGAGGATTTTGACAGACTTCCCGACGGAACATTCCAAATATCGACAATATCGACACAACCTACAAAAAGTGGGAAGTCTTTGAAGAGATGTTAAATTATAATTATTATTTACTCTTCATTTACGACGATGGCAATGTTCCAAAAAAACCTAAACAACTCCAAAATTTTTGATATGAAATGAAAGTAATTAAAAGATCTTTCCAAAAAGTATAAGCTTATATGTGTAGTCATAAATAGATATAAATAAAAGCTACGAATTAATAATGCGTTATAGAAAATATAATATATATAGTTTTATATACAACTCTTATATATCTTATAAATAATATAACAGCTTTTTCACATTAATCTGAACGAATAATTGCAATAATACGAAAGACACCAAGTTAGACTCTAAATCGAAGCTAGCTTTCTGTGTAAAGTTCTTAACAAAAAGAAATATATAATATATTATTTAATATTTAAATATTTGCACATTTTTGACAACTTTGAATGGGAAATCTCAACTACGACATACATTTAAGCACATAACTCTAATCGGTAGTTTTATAGTTCGAGAAACGCTTATAATTTCTGCAAGGAATACGGAAAGATAGCCGGAGACGGGCAGAGTGTGTTGAGTGGGTAGTGTTGAGTGGTTGACTAGTTGAGTGGTTGAGTGGCTCGTAAACAGTTGAGCAAACAAGCTGGCAACCACAGAGCACCACACTTCACTCTTCACTCTTCGTTCAGACAACGGCGTCAATCTGCAGCTCATTAGTTTTAGCAACCACCACCAAAAGCAAAAAAGGGCAACACACACACACACCACACACACACACACACACACATACACCACACGAGCGCACCCTCAACCCTAAAAACATCCACTTGCCATATCCACACTCGCACTCACACTCGCACTCACATTCACATTCACAGGCACTCATGAAGTGTCTGCTCGAGTGGTTTTTATGTCCTTATGGCTTATGTAACATAACTTAAGCTCATTATGCGCGTGCCTCTCACTCTTACCCACTCTCCCTTTCTCTCTCTCTCTCACTCAGTGTGTGTGCGTGTGTAGCAGCCATCTACCCCACCCCCCTTGGCTGAACAATCATGGCACTCATGAATTTAGTTAATGCCACCGCAGGGAATTTTTGGTAATCGTTTTGCCTAATAATTTGATGTGGCCAACCACGAGAGGAAAACCCAAAAACAAAACAGAAAAAAAACTGGGGATCTTTGTGGAATTTGTAGGGTTGTTCGAATTTTGTGCTTGTCAACTTTGTTGACTATTCGAATTATCCCAAAAAGAAATAAAGATAAATACAAATTTCAAGTGGGCGTCGCAATAATATCTGGTAATAAGCTGTTTAATATCTGTGTTCACATTCTTGGTATAATCAACTAATAATAACTGATAATACCTTTTTCTATATTAAAATTTTAATAATTCCTAATAAAATGTTGGACAAACAATACATTTGTGCAATCAGAAAGTAACTTTATTTGATTATTTAAAAAAATTAACTGCCCCATTTGCAGTCACTTAAATAATAAATTATTAATAATTATTTATTTCTCTTTGTTAATAAAATTGGTAATTAAAGAGAATAACAGTATGTTCAACAATATATTTATGTTCAATTCATGTTTATATTTTGAAAAGATTCTTCTACGAGCATTGAGCTTGATCTTTCAGCTTCTCTTTATCAATCTTAATCGTTATTTAATTCAATTCTTTACACATTCTTTTGCAATTTTCTAAAATTGTGCAATTTTGTTAGACTTTCGTTAACAAATTTCAATTTGAAACTAAGTCTACAAATGTGAATCGAAACTTTACATTTGATTGGATGACCTTATTAGACTTTTAGTTATGCATGAACAAAAAGATATTATGTGGGCTGCACCACTTCGTTTACTTAAAGATGACCACGCCCTTTTATAGTATATTATAGTTATTAACAAAAGGGGTAGTCTCACTTTTTTTTCTCTACATATTACTTATGATAGTTATGATGATTAGTGTCAGCTATTTGCTTATTGAACTGATTAAACTCGGGTAAACATTTGAGTAATCATTGAGCGATCTCCGTTGTCAGTCAACTGAATCGGACTACATCTACTACCTGCTCCCCTCTCACTACCCCCCTCCTACGTCACTGCATTCCTCTGCTTTACTCATTTACTCATTCATTTCAAGCTGGCATCCAAAAAAAAAGATTTGAGTGCATAAATCTACGCTTTTTGGGTGGGTTTGTCGCGCTCGCTAATTAACCAGAAAACGAAACGATTTTTTGGGTTTTTTTTTTTTTACTTTTTCGTTTGGTTTGTTATTTTTCTCTACCATTTTGTGGCAGTCGTCTTTTTCCGACTTCGTTTTTTTTTTTTTTGGTTTTTTTGAGGTGTGTTTATTGTAAAAAAATGTATTATGCATGTTTGTTATTGTTGTTGTTGTTGTTGTTGATCACTTTTATAAATTTAGCGTGACTAAAACGAGATCTCGATCGCACTGCTGCATGGCTCCATAATTTGAATGAATGTTGTAGGCGATGGCGTCGAATGGAGTCGGAGTTGGAGTTGGAGTTGGAGTTTTAAGCTTGCAGTTGGAGCTGGTTTGGGCCTGGTTTGTAGAGCTCTGTTCAGCTGCAACAAATGATTTACCGTGAGATTTGCTTCACAGCAATCAAAACAAACAACTACAACAACAAATGAAACAGCAACAACAACAACTACAACAACAATAAACACACTCGTATCAACATTTAAATGCACACGAAATACCCAAATAAAAGTCATAAATTTAGTGCTTTTGAAAAATTGCCATGACTACGACAAGAAAAATTATTAAATTTTATTAAAAGGTGTTAATTTGACAAATTAATGCGACATGCTAGCGACTGTGTCTCTGTGTGTGTTTCTCTGTGTGTGTGTGTGTGTGTTGGAGTGTGTATTCGTGTGTGTATTTCTCTATTCGTCGCTGTGAGTTGGATTAGCATTTTGACAAGTTGCATTTGATAAACTCGACACTTTGAAAAATTGCACAAGTAATTAAATATAGAAATATATAGTATAAACTATAAGCCAAGAGTTGTTGTACTGACTGTAGTCATATTATTATACTCTGCATTAATGAACATGTGTGAAATGGGTATAATTAAGTCGTGTAAAATTATGTAACATCTCCGACCACAGAGTGATTCTTGAGCTAGGCAGTTCTTCCAGTTCCAATTCTATTTATAATAAATATTCATTACTCTAACAATATTTTCATTCTGCAATCAAACACTCTACTTTATAATAATTTAGATCAGTTTTGTTCTTGTATATTCAAGCTCAGAATAATATATAATTTGATCATCTTACAACAGTTGCTTGAAAACTTATTTACTTATTTATAAAAACTAACCACAAGCATTTATCGCTCAAGTAAGTTATGAGTATAATCATTGGCTGTGGTTATTCTTTTTGATGTGCAGCTGATCAGAAATATGTTGCTAAATTGATTATAAAATGCGCCCAGAATTATATTGTTAACTTGAGTAGAACTACTTGTATAGGGTATTTAAATAGCTACTCTGTGCTGTCAACACACACTTTAAACGCTGCTCGCTGTGGCAGCTGCTGTGGCCAATTGCAAACTGAGCAACTGAGAAACAGTTAACAAATTCGATAAACTCCGGCAACAGCAACTCCGTCAATTTTCGCATTTAAAGTCCGGCACTTGGCGCTCATTTAACCGGTAGCCTCAGTCAGTGAGCAGCCAGTCTGCAACCTCAGTAGCCGCGGAGTCTCTGAGCGGATCGCCACTGAACCATTAAGTAATTTTCAATTTGCCCACAACGACCAAACCAAGAACAACCACAACAACAGCAACAGCAACAACAAACAAAAAGCAACGGCTGCCAACAACAATGACAACATAAACAAACGAATTTCAATTACCCATCAGAAGACTTGGCCTGCAATTACCTACCCCGCCAATCCACCAGTTCCCCCTAACTTGCCCCATGCCAGCCCCCATCTCGCTGAGTTTTCCTGCCTCAAGAATTTTCTGCGCAACGCAGCTGAAAATTACTTGAAAGTTTTTCGCTTTGCGCATTTCTCTATGGAAAATTTGCTTAGACAATTGGCTCTCCCCTCCCCCCCAAGCTCAAACGAATTGCCAGATGCAAACATGAAAATAAAGAGAGAGAGAGAGAGCGAGAGAGAGAGAGAGAAAAGCAGAACATCAAACAAAAGAAGCAGCGATTTCCATTTGCCATTTCTTTTATTTAACGAACTGTTTTCCGTAGCCTATAAAAATACCTCGTTTATCACCAATTTTGTCGTAGTTCAGATAGAGAAATACTTGTAGAAGACTCCTAGGCAAGCAGAGTATTATACAATCCATGCAGATTTATCTGTCAATCTAAAAATATGATTTACTTGTAGTCCGATATTGAAAGCATATTTAGCAAATCAGTTTTTCTAACAAAAAATCATATTTCGGCCGATCGTTGCTAAGACAGCTATATGATATAGTGTTCCGATCCGGCTAGGTTTGTCATATATTTATTGCCTGCAGCAGATGGATTTTTAAAGAATTTTTCATACTTCAAGAACAATATTTTAAAACCAATTTTG